TTTAGACAACAACTGATGTCAATGTTTACGTCCCAAATCTTGGTGATGAAAAAGAACAAGGACAAAGCCTAACCTTGAGGAACTCAACAACCAATCACAGCAGACTTTGCGTGGGTGGATTTGAATCGCAGATATACCACCGGACTGTCGAATAAACGGCAACAAAGAGATGACAGGAAAACAACCAATCAGAAGACGTTGCTTCTCCGCTAACAGTGACGCTAATAACAATATACATAAAAATCTATAAATATCTGTTGATTTTCTCAGTAAACGATGTGTTCCCTTGTCTTCTGTCGTTACAGATACACTGTATTCTGTTGATTAACGCCGAGATGAACTGTGAGAACATGTGAGAATAGCATTCCGTTGGCACACATTGTCTGCACCACACCACCATACAGGAATCTGGCTCCTAACACTTCTCCGCTTCCTCGTGGATCAGACATTAAACTAAAGGTTTGGGGAGAGGGTCGTTGGTCACCCCTTAAAACAACCAAGTACCTCGGTCTTGGCTTTCGGGCAGTATTTTAGTGTAACGTCAGAAGACAAGAGCCAGGCAAGAGATCGTTTATCAAGGAAATCAACAGACATTTATAGATTTTTATGTACATTATTATTTATTATTGTTAGCAGAGTAGCAACGTCTTCTGATTGGTCGTTTTCTCTCTGAAAGTTATTCTGTCATCTGTTTGTTTGTAGGTCAGACCATATATCTGCGAATCGTATCCGCCCACGAAGTCTGCTGTGATTGGTTGTTGAGTTCCTTAAGGTTAGGCTTTGTTCTTGTTTTTTCTCATGACCAAGATTTGGGACGTAAACATTGATGTAAATTGCTGTGTACCAATTTTGGCTAGCAGAAAGCTCTCGCCACACTAGCCTATGCACAAACTATGAGATTTTGTATGGCTCATTTCTTAGTGACCATAATGTATGTGTGTTATTAATAATAATGGTGAAAATAACAAATGTTTCTAACCTCATTCAACAGCTGGCTATATGACAATGCCACGTGTCAAGTGATTCACATCGGGAAATTCGATTAGGCCTGTGGAGTGAATACAAGAGTATAGGACAAAGCCGCCTGCCTACTATCCCCGATGATATTCCTAATTCTGATGAAATGGATTATGCGGAACACTCTGCAAGGGGAGTAAGGAGGAAGAGGAATACGTTGCACTGACAGATAAGAAGACTCTAGAAGAGATCTGAACTACATGGACGATTTATATCCACATATCTGTCATATAAATTGGTAGATCTACAGGCGACAACCAATAAGCTGACAGCAGAAGGAGAAGCTGGTATCAAAGACAGGATATCAAGTAAACATAGAAAAGACAGAGGTGATAAAAGTAACCAACTAAAAACAACTATGTTCCAATCAAAAGCCAATAGGATAATAACAACATACTGTGATATTGTTATGTACTCGTCGCTGAATTATTGTTATGGACTGGTCGAGAAATTAATAGTCCTGACGCAAGAAGGCGGAAATCAGAAGACCACTAGGTTTGCGATGATACTTCTATTGTCCAAACACAAGGAGACGAAAATAAATGGTCTCACACCAAAGTGGTAAGCAAGTCAAGTAGTTGTAAAGTAAAGTCGTTCACACAAATTGTGAATGCGAATATATATAAATAATTCAGACAAAGCGTGGGAAAAATCATTAGACAGTCTTAACATGAATGGCTAATTATAATGGAGTGTCGATCCAATTATACATAGCGAATATAGCAGACATGCCAACAAACATATATGGATATATGTCACCAAGCAACGGACTGTCAACAAACACTCATATTATATATAATATAATATGAGGAGAATACACATTATTAAAGGAGACAAGTCCATACAAGTGAAGTGGTCACAGACTAACCGAGCAAACAGAAAGAGAGACCAACATGCACACACACACATAAATATATATATGTGGATACATATCAGATATAATCAGCTAAGCTGATAAGGAAATATTCACAAGCCATATTATCACAGCTGGAAGAATATCAAACATATTAAACGGTATACTTACCTTGGAATAGGTATAATTCAATGAAGTAACATCTATGGATAGTGAGATGATCTGGGATACTCTTGAGATAGAATACTGGAATTGATGTGGCGAGTAATGATTGAAAGATTGTAAACAGAGAATTCCAAGTTATTAGACCGGCAATCGACTTACCGACTCAGCCACAAGACCGAACAGCTAACGAGGTCGTCATTGCAAGTTTAAGCATTGAAAAGGCAGCAGCTGTTTCGTTCTAGTTTGGGACTCTACAGAATTACTTACTTACTTTTACTTTACTTCGGCTATCTCCTACGGGAGGATGAGCCGGCTTCATGAACCATGAAGTTTCATGGGAATTGGGTACGAGTGATGTCCCCAGCATCGCTCGGCCTTTGTTTGAGAGTGCAGCTCTAGCCTTTACACAACCAAGTGTGACCTACAAGGCAGTAGGAGTGGAGTAGGGAGTCCACTATCCATTGGCAGCCGGTGACCGGAGTCCGGTTCATTCGCCTTTTTGAATGTGGCCAGTCATCCAGGGCTTCCAATAATCCCTTTGTCCATACGTCTGCCGGTGAACTCCGGTGAGCTTCATACGCCAGTCGTTGGAGGTTTGGAATTAGGGTTTAGCCATCTCCCCTAGACTGTCATCCAATGGACAGTCAACCCGGTGAAGTGCGCCGGGCATCCGCTTTTGCCCTCTCACTTTGGTGAAAAACACCTCCGCCACGTGAAGGCAGTGAGTAGGACTTCCTCAGGAGAGGCTATGTAAGACGCCCGGTCATATGGGAGCATTTCAAGAGGTGTACGGAGGGGTGGCCAACCCGCAGCGCAAGACACCCACCCCCGACCATCCTGAGGCTTTGGAGGCTACAGAATTACTCTACAGAATTAGGCATCCATGAATCTTTACCTCCAAGGATTGAAGCCGGGACCTTTAGGCTATACATTGCAAGCCCGTCGACCATCCAAGCATATCTTGGAACAGAATTCAATGCTATCAGCCTATGAATTCTAACTTCTGTCGACTCGCGATTTTAAGTGCCACCGCCAGCCAGCCAATATCATCGGCGAATATCTCCTGTCCTCACACACACAACTTCATAGACTTCTCACACGCCCCATGATCACACAACTTCTCGTTATTTTTAACTACAACCACCAAGGATAGAGAGAGAGTCGGACTAGTAATTCCGAAATCGTTTATTTCGACTCATGGAGTGACCTGAATTTTCATTTCCCGTTTCAATCATCACCAGTTACACTAACAGATTTTTATGATTGTTTCCAGGAGAATAGTGAAAAGTTTCAGGTAGGGCTAAAAATATCTGCTGAATACATTAAATGAAAACATGAAAAATATGGTGTTTTCTTAGTCTTGACATAAATTTGCTTCGCATCAATTTATAAAAGAGACTGATCTCAAGTGTGTGGAACGATTAGAGGAATCTAGAAGATCTGGACTTCACGGACGACATATGTGTAACGTCACACAGACGAAAATAAACAAATTGCGAACAGCAGGAGAAGCTGACAGCAAAGGCAGCACTTCAAGGGAACATAGAGATGATGGAGGTGATGAAGATTTCTAGCCAACGACAAAAGCATCAATTTCTATTAACGGAATAGATTTGAAAAAGGTTACTTCCTTCACTTATGCAGTAGCTTTGCAGTATCGTTTTGACTGAGAGGCGACAGCACCGATGAGGGGATGTCAAAACCAGCCAGAAACGGAAAGGTGACATACACCCTCATCGATCTGAAATCATTCTGGAAATCTTGTGTACTCAGAATCCAGACTGAAATTCGGATTTTCAACACAAATGTTATGTCAGTCACTTCTTTCTATATGAGTCAGAAACTTGCACTGTGCGTCACGAGAAGCATTTTCAACAGGCTACAGCAGACGTTTATCAACATCTGGCTTCGCTGGTGTCATAATGAAGATCACATGATCACCCGGGAAGAATTATCAACAAGTAACTCTGGGAACGAAACAATCAAGGACCTATGCACCAACAAATATATATATATATATATATATATATATATGGAAGGAAAAAGGACATTGAGCAGGCACAGACGTTGAGGAGACCATTAGGTGATGAGACCACGAGAACCAGACTGCTTCCTGAGTAGAACCCGAATGCAAAACGAGGAGTTAGGTCGTCAGTTCAAGTGTGACAAAAGGAGGCGGTTGTGTGAAGAAGGGAAGAAAGCTTTACAGGGAAAATCGTGACGCCAGGTGAAGAGGACCACCCCCACAGAGAGTGGGACAGAGTGCTGCTACCTTGACGTGATGATCGCCTGGCTAGCATATCGTAATGACCTAACAAGCTACACTGGTAGGTCGTACCATGCCGTGAAGGTCGTTAGGATAGCGATTAGACTAAAAGCAGTTATCGGCATAGTTTAAGAATTGTTTTTTACACTATGCTAGGGTTCTGTGGGCGATGCCGTACTGCAGGGGAACAGGGATATAACAGCAGTAAGGTGTTTCCTTCAGATGACCAGCATCCCAACCAGCTATGCTGTCTCGCCAGTCTGGGGAGAGAGGGGGTTAGAAAAGGTCGGCCTCAACAATTGTGCATCCCAACTTATCCTACGGTCGTCCGTAACCAGCGGTAAGTTTATTAATGCGGAACCAATCGAAGAAGCCAGTTCATACAGGCCGTGTGTGACCAGTCTCAAAGTAGTTGTCCCCTGGGCTCCGTGGTCACGCAACACTAAGTCTCTTTCTGTTTCAGATACCCGAAAAATCAAACAACTTCCATGGTGTGGTGGGGTTGGGCAGCCAGGAAGTAACAACCGCCTACACACTTCCAAAAGTACACGAAGCCTTCCTGTATGTTCCACTCGGAACCCAAAGTGAACAAAAATGCACAGGTTAGGCTAAGTTTTGTTCAAATACTTCAATTGACCAAAAATAGGCATACACAAAAAAAAGACGGGAACGTAAGAAAAGAGAAACAAAAAGACTTACTTTTGAGCAATTTCACAACTATCTTTATTTCTGCACTCTTTTCCAATGCATAATAAGTGTAAACACCAGGCTAAACAGATACGTGCACTAGTTATCAAGCCTAACCATAAAGGTTCATCATAAAAGTTGATTATTGACTCGTATAACCATGAAGCAGAATCATAGGCTTCTTGTGAACTATTTAAAAAAAAAATGCAAATAACAATGAATTAATGAACAAAATTAGTTAACATAGACGATTTGTTGCTGAAATTCAACAACATCGACCCTTCTGCTTACCTTTACTTGTGAAGAGGAGTAGGAGACGAAACGACATTTCCTGGATGTCTGTCTAGCTAAGCAGACAAGAAGATGGGTCACTTAGGAGAAGTGTGTATAGAAAAAGCACATTCACAGTGCGATACACACACTTCCCTCCTTAGTTACGCGCCCATTAAATATAAGAAGGAATGTTGTTAAATGTCTTGCGAGCAGAGCAAGAAAGATATGTACGAGATGACCTCTTACAAAAGGAATTTGAATATATTCACGATTCCTTGACGGAGATGGGCTGGCTATCCGAGTAGTTTCATAAAGAAACATATGAAAACATCAGAGAGAAAACCTGAGACTCTGACTGCACATAAGAAACCTCTATTTATTAAGTTACAATTTAATAGTGACTTATTAAGTGAGATTTTATTCCCAAGAACATTTTACGCAGCACACCTATGTTTGCCATTCTCTAGCCGACGAATAATTGGGACGCAAACGAAGGATAAACTTGATAGTTTTGCCACAGCTATGTGCATTTATCAACTGAACTGCACCTGCGGTGACAGTTATGTTGGGCACACCACTACTAGACAGCTTAGTCAACGTGTTGTTACTGAACATCTCCCATCGTGGTTTGGCAAAGAACAGACAAAAACAATCCGTAGCTCAATTTTGACACATCACATTTAGTTGATAGTGTTCATGTAGTGGAGAAAGCCGGAGCTTTCAAAGTAATTCATCGTATCCCGCCGAATCTTTCCAATAGACTTCGTATTCGTCTACTGTGTACAGCTGAGGCGATAGGCATTCGAACTATTAAACCTAAATTATGCATTTAAAAGAAGTTCGTACAGCCATTATCCCTCCCGTGGCCTAATAAGACATAACCAACTAATGACTTCTTCATCACATCTTGTTTATATTTTCAACCCCTTTCTTATCATCCCTTAATCTTATCACATCTTCATTAAAAATGTGTTTCATTTACTTCCCTAACAATCAATCTATCATTACTTAATCAGTTCATTTGTTTTTACTAGCCTTTATCGACTACTATGTATACCTGAACATTTATTTGTTTAATCATGCTGTTTTTTTCATTAATCGTGTTATCACAGATTGCCTCATTTTTTCATCCTTATTATTGATAAGACTATTATTATCATTACTACTATTATGACTAATTGCACAATTTATATTCACCATCGTATTATCTTATAGACAAAACACCATGATTGGTTTATATTTGAATTTTTATTTGTAAACTTATATTCATTAGAGTTAAGCCTGATGAGATCTAATTGAAAGCACAATATTGTTCGCTTAAATGTGTTGTTCTAAATTTTACTATGTGAATATTTAATATATACAAATTAGCTTCCCCATTTTTCAGTCACACTAATTTAAAATACATAGCTATAATATGACTTACATATATAATAAGTAGACAAGAAGAATAATTTGGACTAAGAGAGATATTAAACAAGGATCACAATTTAGATATCGATGTTGGTGTTACACGTATTCTGATAGGCCACTATGAACTTTAAATTAAGAGCCTACAGAGAGTTGTCATCTGAAAACTGTGATGACAACCAGCGGTGTCCACCAGGGACACCCACACCACTATCCCCATTCCTGTTTAAATTTCATTGTAGATAAACTAATGGCCTTAACCTCAACAACTCACTTCAGTGACTCACGGCTGGACTTGTTACCATCAGGGAATAATCTCGTTGACTTAGACTATGCAGATGATATAGTCCTCCCAACTAGAGGTGATGACGCGGACAAAACTTCACAGTTTTCTAAATACCACCTTTAAGCTGAGCAGCGATCTTCGAATGTTTGGCATGCGATTCACCTGTCAAATGTGAGATAAAGATACAGGACAGGACTGTATGAACATATGGAGTGAAGTGGTTGGCGGAGCGTCTTGACCAATTCACTTATTAAAGTGGAGTTGCATCAACATCTGTATATTCTAAGGCAACGATATTGTTCCCTGATGGTAAATAAGTCAGTCACAATCTATGGGTCTCTGAAATCAGTTAGGGTTAAAAGTCCATTAGCAGCACACCTCGCCTAGATTTCGTCGTGGCTAACACTTATCAGTCAGTTGTTAGCAAGGCATATCTGCAACCTTGGAGGAACAATTCATGTCTCTACTGAGATTCAAACTCACATCACTCGGTGAGTGCTGCAGTTAGAGAGGCTACCACCCATTGAGCTATTCGGTTCGGGCTGGCGACTGATCATCTCCTGTAGGAATGGCTATGAGATGGATAATTTTATAAGACACTAGGTAGTAGTAATTAGTGTTCAGTCAAAGTATGTAAAGGAATAGAATACCAACAACAGCAACAATAATACGAAAAAAGAACAACTAAACTTACAATAAATAATCAGCTATATCGAAGACCACTTCATACGCTCGTTTAGGATTATGTATGAATTTCAAGAAACCGACTAGTGTTTGTCCAGTTGCAATAAAAATTTGTGAATATATCACGGATGAATTAAACAATGGAATGAAATGATTATGTGCCAATAGGATAGAATTATCTTGACAGGAAAATCTTTCCGACTGTCCTCCTTCTCCGTCTACTCCGCCTCCTCCTTCTCCTGCCCCTCCAACTTTTTTCTCTTCTCCAGCATCGGACATCGCTGGTGGATCAACAAACTTTTCTTCTTCTTCTTCTCCTTGTTCCTCTTTTTCGTCTCCATCATTTCGACTATTATTATAATAATCATCATTCATAGAAGAATCGACAACTGATGGATTCGTCGTCTTCTTCTTCTTGGTGTTTTTCTTCAAATTTCCACTGACTACTGAATTCAGTAGTAGGCGTTTTTTACGATGAATTGGTGAGCTGGACTTGATACTACTACTACTGCACCAAAGACCAGTCATTTGTCCAATTTGCTTTAAATAATTAAAAACATACAACCATAATTCCACTGCATAACTCTGTGTCCAGTAAGAAGTATCTTTCTCAGCTTTGTTATTATTGTTACTATTACTATTATTACTACTGTTATTAGTATTATTACTATTATTATTGCTCATTGAGGATTTATGTTTAGACATGAATTTCAATGGGGTATCTGTTATAATCGAGCTATTACCACTATTACTATGCTGTGTCATTAAAATTGGCGGAGATTTTCTGGATAACATTTGATTATGTAGAGAATTTAAATGTGTATATATCTTGTCTACGATATGACTCATATACCAGACTGTAGGATTGGCGTCTTTTCTAGCATCGAGGAAAATATTCTGTGTTGATGTTGCGGTTGTTGGTGTCACTGTCAACGTTGACTGACTGGCCGCCGATTTTCGTGTAATCCGAGTTGAACTGATATTCTCTAAGATATGATTACATGAATACGCTGTATCTAATACTTCAATGATTGATTTATTCATATCATCAATTGAACGATCTGAATCCAGGCGAATATTTGTTAGGGTATTTAGGCAGATGCATAGAATCCAAATGGCACGATATAATGGATCTACACGAATCTATAAAGAGAGACAGACGGACAGGAAGAGGGAAATAATTAGTGAACATTAGTCATACTTTCTGAATAAAACACGTTAAATAGACAACAAATAAATCAAATCGATAATTTGCCTATTTGTCTGTCTGTCTGTCTGTTTTCGACATAGAACTTTGCACAAATCTGCGGAAGTCCAAGTCGCCACACTCCGTGTAGCACGCGAAGCAAGAGAAGAAAGTACAAGAAAAGCATAATAGAAACAGTGAGCAGAGGTGTGAGACAAAGGAGGAGTAATAAAGAAAAACAAAACAGTTTCATTGGAGATCATAAGTCACAAGGAGTGGATGCATCTGCCCCAGCCACTGAGAACGATTTTGAGCCATGTCACCAATTGTTTCCAACCATAGATTTTTACCGTCCCGAGGACCCCAGCCTGGAAGTCTACACATTCCTACGTGGCTTAGACCAACTGTTGTGGATTTCATTGACTGGTGAGGCCATGTTTTGGTTTGACCGCCGCTAGCTTTTTTCCAGCCTGACCCTATATCAGCTAACATTGCTCATTGTCGAGGGAGGCGATGACTATGCTGGGCATACGTAACACATGTCCTAACCATCTCAGTCTTTGTAACTTCACGACTTCGTCGATTGATTTCCCCTGTTTACCTAGAACTCGACCGAGGCCTAACCTCAATGTTGCTCACCTTATTATGCCAATTTACACGGGAAATAGAGCGCAGGCACCTATGATCAAAGACAGCTAGCCAGGCTTTTCATGTCTTCCACTCTCAGTGGCCAGATCTCACAAGCAGCCATAAAGGAGGACGGAGCGGACTGATGAGCAGTACACCCGCCCTTCGGTCGATAGTCGAACATCTCGTCTACGCCAGAGTCGGCGTAAACTGGCATATGCGAAACGAGCCCCCTGTATCCGTACTGGGATTTCGTCAGAGATCAACCCGTTGGGGCTGATGGTACTTCCCAAATAAGTGAAGCGGTCAACGTGCTCTACCACTTCACTTCCTATTTTTAAACTAAGCGTCGATGTAGTCCAGTCCTGTAACATCATCTTACATTTGGTGGGAGCGAATCGCATGCCAAACATTCGTAGATTACGGCTCAAGGTGTTTAGAAAACTCTGCATTTCGTCGGCGTCTTCGCCTAGAAGGACTATATCGTCTGCATATTCCAAGTCAACGAGATTATTCCCTGGTAGAAAGTCAATCCCTGAGTCGCTGAAGTCACTTAGGGTTAAGTCCATTAACACATCTATGATGAAGTTTAATAGAAAAGGGGATAATGGTCATCCTTGACGGACACCACTGGTCGTCACCAGTTCAGATGACAGCTCGCCGTAAGCCCTCACCTGGCTGTATGAGTAAGAGTAGAGTGATGGCCTTAATCAGTGCAATATATTTTCTCGGAATTCCCTTTACAGCCTATTTACACATTAAGAATGACTAAATGACTGGTTTCAAAACAGGACTTTGCACCAATGTGCACCAGTTCGAGTTGCCTCACTTTCCTCAGCACACAAAGCAAGAGAAGAAGAAGAAAGTAAAAGAAATGCAAAATAGAGACAGTAAAACAAAGAAATGAGGCAAAAAGAATAGTAATATGGAAGAACAATATAGTTTTATTAGGTGTTGTAAGTCACAAGGAGTGGATGTATCTGCGCCAGCTATTGACAACGAGGATTTTGAGCCATATAACCGATTGTCTTCAGCTGTCGTTGGTTCTTTCCACCGCGACGATCCCAGCCAGGAAGTCTACATCTTCCTACATGGCTTGAACTAACTAAGTGTTGTGGATTTCATTGACTGATGAAGCCATGTTTTGCTCTGACCACAACTAGCTAACTCTTCTTCAACCTGACCCTAAGTCTGTCGGGGAAGGCTATGGCTAGGTTAGGCTAGGCATGCGTAACACATACCCTAACCATCTCAGTCGATATGACTTCACAGCCTCGTCGATTGATTTCCCCTCCCACCTACCTAGCACACGACCGAAGCCTAACCTCAATATTGCTCACCTTATTATACCATTTCATATGGGAGATATAGCGCAGGCACCCATGGTCAAAGATAGCTAGCCAGCCTTTTCATGTCTTCCACCTTCAATGACCAGGTCTCAATGACAGCCAACCTGTTGATCGACAGAATCGAATTCCGCCTTAAGGTCAAGAAATATGACGATTGTTGGACGCCGCCGAAAGTGTATGCCAGTATGTTCCAGAATTTGTCAGAAGGTAAAGTTATGATCAATCCCCCCTCTTCCTGGTCTAAAGCCTGCCTGGTCATCTCGTGTTTGTTTGTCCTAAGTACCTCTTAATCTATGCATTGTTATTATGCTTAGAACTTTAGATACCATATTAGTCAGTCTAATCCCCCCTCTGTGATTATCACAGGAAGACTTATCTTCCTTCTCGTATTTTGGGATAATCAATGACTTACATAGTACGAATTGTGAGATTTCACCGTAGGATTTCCTTTACAAAGCCAATTTATTCAGATCACCACAATATATGTGTGATCCGTTTGTTTGATACCATAAATGATAATCATGAAAGCAAGCAAATTTTGCATCAAAAAGCTATATATACTACTGATTGACTGAGATGAGTAGTTGCACACTAGGCATACCAACCACCATTAGTGATGCTTGCTAGTCACCCCCAGCCAGATCGACGTGTTTCAAAACACCAGACGAGTACACCGCTGACGAAGTCATTGAGACATTTTTGCATCCTATTTCGCGACACTTCGGCATTACGCACCAATATGTTCCTTACAGGATCTACTTACTTGACTAATGATTGACTCTACAGGATGAAGTTGTGGCCAGAGGTTCACCAGTTAGAAGTCATGGTCAGTGGGATCCACAAATTTGAGTTCGAGAACAAATAATCGCCAATGACATCGACTGGTGGTGGTGCTATATATCCAAATGAATGATCACAATTTAAAAGAACTACCTGTTTATGATGGCCATGGCAAGTATAAAAGGGGTTGGACGTTTTTTTCTTTTGGATACATAGCGTGAGTTTTCGCTTTTGGATGGCTAGTGCCTCGACTATGCCCAAATGTTTTAATTTCACTCCCTTTGTTAGGTTTGATCGAATCTTGCATATTATTTTGTAGGATTTTTCGAATGACGCTGAATGTCCAGTGCTGTGTTCATTCATTCATTTATTCTGATTTTGATTCCTCGAGATGTTTGTGAGATGTATCACATTGCATCCCATTCCAAGCAAACATTTTATTTTATAGAAACAATTAGATTGAGAATCCTTTGGAATTCTGTCTTTTACATGAACAAGGTTGCTTTGCAATGTGTGTACCTGATGTTTTGAAAAAAACTCTGATGGTGTCCTTATTGAGTACTCGTCTGATTTCTATCGTCTGATCTTTCTGATTTATATGGAATGACAACTGTTGAGGTCCATGCCTTCGGAATACTTTTTCAACCATACTTAATGTCTGTGTTGATTTTGTTGATGAAGATCCTTGGGTAGTTGTTTCAGTGATGTTTGATATTTCTTCTTCTTTTTCTTGCTCATCCGTTAACATCAGAGAGTGTGCTCGTCTAAGAAGACTTGAAACAACTGAAATCTTTGCGCTGATGGGGTGTGATGATCTGAAGTCTAAATATTTATTGGAGTGGGTTTTCTTCCTGAATATGAATATACTAAAATATCCGTTTTCCCTCCTCTTAACTAGGCAGTCTGTGTAGAAATGGTAGTTCACCAAAGTCTGATTCTGCTTTCGAAGTAAACTGGATTCTAGGAGATAGATTGTTCAGGAATGAATTGTGTAGATCTCGTTTTAGCACAATAATAGTATCGTCTACATATATCTTAACCATATTTTAGGAGTGAGTATGCTTGAAAAGATGTGTATTTTCGAATCTGTTAATGAAAAGGTCAGCGACTATTGGGGAGACTGGTGAACCCATAGCAACATCATTTGTCTGTCTATATAAATTCCCTTTAAATGCAAAATAATTCCTTTCTAGACAGAATTTTAAGCTATTAAAGTGAGGAGGTGTGCGTCGGTAGTATAGCGGTTAGGACGCTCGCTGACCATGCACAAGGTCAGGAGTTTTAATCCCCGGCCATAGACGCACTCCTTTACCTCGATGGGCCAGAAATAATGCTAGTAAAGAGGAAAGGTTGGGCATGAGGCTGGCTAGCAACCCCATCCTGTAAAAGTAAACACCACTGCTACAGAAACTTCAAGCTGGCTCTAGCTTGAAGGCGTCTTATGTTCCACCGGGGAACGTGAAGGAAAAACAAGAGTAAGGAGGAAAAAGCACAAACTTATTTTGAGTTACGGGAATCACTCATTCACTCACCTTTAATATTTCTATTTCATTCAGTGTAGAACAAATAACCCGATGAGTATGCGCAGGGAATTCATACAATTTATCACATATGCATAAAATAGATGCTTGTCGTGATAATAGGTAATTTCTTAATTCAAATAATGTAGCGCTACGATCTTTTAAACGACTAGTTTGTTTAGCTTCTGTATTTGTAACATCTAGGGAATAATCACAGATGTAGTAGGATGCATGATCAGAGGATGAAAGTTGTGCTAATCGATTCAACCATTGAGGACGACTAGATCCTAGATGAAAAGAGGAGACAGCAGAATACGAAAAGAATAAAGCAAAATAATGATATATATATGATCTTCAAGCTTTACTCTAATTTACATAGATTTTTATATAAAGATTGCAACCAATGACACTGACTTTGTAGATCAAATAATAATAATAATCATGTCATATAATAAACAGAAACTGAGAATAGGATACAATTGGTGGATGGTGACTAGCAGTGGAATCCAGGATGCGCATTTCGTCCTATTTGGGATTCGTCAGCTGGATGTACCTGCATTTCTCAGTAAGTGATGATGTTCCCACCGAGGCTCGAACCCAGTACCCATAGTTTCGAACGCCAAAGCGTTATCCACTAGACCACTAGTTAAAAAGAAACAAGTGTTCCTAAAATTGCAATTTAATGGGGACTTGTGGCTAGTGAAGTCTTACATCTAAGATTATCAAGAACACTGAAACGGACTTATACTGCCGCCACCATCCTTTGTTTGTCATTTTAGAGCTGCCGGCGAAATTGTGATTGCTCAGGCGAAAGACAAACTCTGTCTAGCTGTGTCACTTCTATGTGTATTGACACATTCTTATCGTCACTTGCATTAACCTGGTTATCAATATTTTGTTATCATTATAATCATCGTTATCGATAAAATGATATTTTGATAAATCACACAGTGTTGTACAGTAATATTAACTGATGACGTTTTGAGCATAATTTACCATTACCACTCATAATCATATCAAGGCACTCACTCACACAACTTTCTGGCTTCATTTATATACATGAGTAAAAATAGATGATTAGTCTGTCTGCCTTTTATAGTTTTTATAGTAATTGAACTGAACACACTTTAACATTATTTATTATCCTCCTCTGATTTGACTGGTAGTAATAATATCTTCCATATCTCTGCTATTTGCGTTGAGTCACCTCTATTGAATGTGTTGGGTTGGGTGTAGACTCGATGAGGAACCAGGCAGGATTCAGTAATCAACCTTTCTCTATCTCCACCTACCTAGATTACTGCTTAGAATTTTGACTCTATCCCACCCACACCATTATATGGTTGTGTGTTGATGCATGCAGTGTAATGTCGTTCTGAGCTTGTTTCTCAATTCCTTATCTTCTCAGGGTCAATCACTTTAACTTTAGCTAAATTCTTATGTTCTCACAGGCAATCTCACTACTCCTGATCTACTAGTTTGACTGGCCTATGTACTTGACCTCACTCACAGTCATTGCAAGGTATTTTGTAAATTTTATTTATTTTGTTCAATTGGGTCAACACCTACAGGGTCTTTTAGCCTACGGAGCTTATCCTATCTGAATGAGTTTGTAGGTTTAAATGCCACCCTAATTCCTGCTTTATTAAGAATCCTACGTAGGGAGGATCACAGATGTCCTTCATATGGTAAAACTAATGTAGATGTCTTGTATTCTTTATTATTTATGCTATTGTAACAACAGAAGACAAGGGCCAGGCAACAGATCGTTTTATTATGAAAATCAACACGTATTTATACATATTTCACATACATTATTATAGCTTATGCAAGTAGACAAGCGCAGTCATCTGATTGGTTGTTTATCAGAAGTTAGGCAGACAAACGCAGGCTTCTGATTGGTTGTTTCGGGATTCCTCGACAAATAGAGTTCTCTATCTGCGAATCATATTTTGCCACGTTAACTTTGCTGTGATTGGTTGTTGAATCAGCCTTGCTCATATTTTCTCACGGCCTGCTCTCACCACACTATCATTACTAGTTTTACAATTATTCTTTCATTTTGCTTTTGACATTTTTTGATATTCCTAAGGTGAATTTTATAGGATAGTTATTTATTCAACACCAATTGACGCTTTTTCTGTCTGGTTCATTTCATCGTTTAGGCTTTTTTAAGGACTAGATGTACAACACTAGCTACTTAATACCTAGTTAGTTAATATTTCATCAAAATACTTCGAAATTACCTATTCGTGTTTCTAATATTATATATATATATATATATATATATATATATATATATATATATATATATATATATACATAAAGAAGTGTGCGTGGGTGGCACAGCGGTAGAATGCTCGTTAACCACGCCTCATGTGGTCCGTGGTTCAATCCCCAAACACCGACTCACTCCTTTACCTCACCGAGCCAGTAATAAGACTGGTAAAGAGGAAAGGTAGGACATGAGGCTGGCCAGCAATCTCATCCTGTAAAAATACATACCAACCACTGTTACCAAAACTTCAAGCCTCTAGCTTGAAGCCGCCCTATGTTCTCCACTGGGAACGTAAAGGAATAAGATTTTTTTTAAATACACAAAGACAACTTCTGAAAAAGAAGACGAATTAGAATAAAAAAAAACAACATCGATTAATTCGACGGAAGTGCTCCTCGGTCTCAGGTTGACATGTCAGCTTCTTGTGCAGATGCTTAGACGATGAGACTGAAGAGCACTTCAGTCCAATCAATCGACGGGAAAATCTAAAATTAAATTAAATTAATATGACCCGCTGCACAAGAGGTGGCTCTCTTGCTCTAGGTTTTCTAGTGGATAACGCTTTGGTTGGCGTTTGAAACTATGGGTACTGGGTTCGAGCCCCGGTGGGAACATCATCACTCAGGTCTGTCTGTCTGTTTTAGATATAGAACTTTGCACCGACGTGCACCAGTTCAAGTCGCCACACTCCCTCCTTGCTGCACACAAAGCAACAGAAGAAAGTAGAAGGAATGCATAATAGAGACACTAAACAGAGGTGTGAGACAAAAAAATAGTAGTAGTGAAGAACAAAACAGTTTCATTGGAGATCATAAGTCACAAGGAGTGGATGCGATTGCGCCAAACAGCCATTGAGAACGATTTTGAGCCATGTCACCAATTGTTTCCAACCATTGGTTTTTACCGTCCCGAGGACCTCAACCAGAAAGTCTACACCTTCCTACGTGGCTGGTTAGCTTAAACTAACTGTTGTGAATTTAATTGACTGGTGAAGCCATGTTTTTGTTTGACCGCCGCTAGCTCTTTTCCAGCCTGACCTTATATCAGCTAACATTTCCCGTCGAGGAAGGCGATGACTAGGCATACGTAACACATGTTCTAACCATCTCAGTCGATGTAATTTCACAGCCTCATCGATTGATTCCCCCTCCTTACCTAGCACTCGACGACTAATCTCAATATTGCTCACCTTACTATACCACTTTAAACGGAAGAGAGAGTGCAGGCAGGGGAATTCAGGTGTATCCAAATGACGAATCTCAAACAAGAAGAGAAATGCGCATTATCCCGGATTTCACTGCTAGTCACCGTTCACCAATTAAACATTTAAACTTTCCTTACTAAAAAAATTTACAAAAACACAAACTTACCTTGATCTATTGAAGTTTGAATACAGTTGGAGAGTAATTCAGTTGCTTCATAATACTCGTGTAAGGCATGTTCATGTCCTCCTAGGAATAAGTACATATGAGCTAATTCTTCCTATTTATCACGTACATAAAATAAAACAAGAAAAAAAATTACAGAGAGAGAGACAGAGAGAAAAGGGTCTTTGGAAAAATTCTCAAATTTAAACATTTGCCCAGAATTCATTTCGTTATAAATTGAACAATACATGTGGTGAGAGCAGGCTGCTAGCCAATTGGTAGACATTAATCTACGCCAATGTCTAGGTCACTAATATGGGCCGTGAGAAAATATGAACAAGGCTGATTCAACAACCAATCACAGCAAACTTAACGTGGGCAAATATGATTCGCAGATAGAGGGTTCTACTTTCCGATGGTTACCCGAAACAACCAATCAGAAGACTGCGTTTGTCGACCTGAATAAGATATAATAATGTATGTGAAATATATATAAATACGTGTTGATTTCCGTAATAAAACGATCTCTTGCCTGGCCCTTGTCTTCTGTTGTTACAGACATATAAGCGAACAATATTGTTGTTTTCAATTAGATCTTCTTCAGGCTTTACCTTAATTTACATAGATTTTTATATAAAGATTTTCAACCAATGACGGTGGAACATTTGTGGAACAAATAATAATAATAACAATAATAATGTGGTAAATGTTTTGAACAATTAATCATGAAATTGCAATTTAATGGAGACGTGGCTAGCGAAGTCTTACATCTGAGATTATCGAGAGCGATAAAACAGGCTTATACTGCTGCCACCCTTTGTCACTTTCCACCTGCCGACGAATCATGATTGCTCAAGTGAAAGACAAACTCTGTCTAGCTGTGCCACTTCTATGTGCATTTATAAATTTAGCTGCTCCTGTGGAGAAAGCTGGCTATATGTAGGGTGAACAAATAGACAGCCTAACAAACGCATTAATGAGCATCTTCCTGCATGGTTCAGAAAAGGTCAAATAAAATCTATAAGAAGTTCTATTTTGACTCATTTGATTGACAGCGATCACCAAGTAGACAAAAATAGTGCCTTCAGAGTTATCTATCGCATTCCATCGAGCCTTTCGAGCGGAATTCGAACCCACCTGCTAAACACATAGCCGAAGCTATGGAAATTAATTCGAGAGAACAATCCTAGTGTCTTTGTATACAACAAAAGAAGTTTGTTCTACCTTTGTCTCTGCCACCCTTGGCCTGGGTGAATTCTAATCAAAACCCTACCACCCTTTCTTGTCTTCCATTTCCTTCGTACTTTTATGATATTTATTTAAACTCTGATTATCCGTCCACTTCATCTACCTTTAGCATTACGTAACATGTAAGATTTGTCCTAATTTATTTATTTATTTATTGAATTGTCTACATATACACACACATATTATTACCTTCGTTATTGTTATCGCCACCTGTCAAATCGACGAAGTCGTGAAGTTACAAAGACTGAGATGGTTAGGACATGTGTTACGCATGCCTAGTCATCGCCTCCCTCGACAATGAGCAATGTTAGCGGATATAGGGTCAGGCTGGAAAAAAGCTAGCGGCGGTCAAACAAAACTTGGCCTCACCAGTCATTGAAATCCACAACAGTTGGTCTAAGCCACATAGGAAGGTGTAGACTTTCTGGTTGAGGTCCTCGGGACGGTAAAAACCAATGACTGGAAACAATTGGTGACATGGCTCAAAATCGTTCTCAATGGCTGGTTGGCGCAATCGCATCCACTCCTTGTGACTTATGATCTCCAATGAAACTGTTTTGTTCTTCATTATTACTCCTCCTTTGTCTCACACCTCTGCTCACTTTTTCTATTATGCTTTTCTTGTACTTTCTTCTCTTGCTTCGCGTGCTACACGGAGTGTGGCGACTTGAACTTCCGCACATTTGTGCAAAGTTCTATGTCGAAAACAGACAGACAGATCGCCACCTGTATAAACCTTATTATCAATATTTTGTTATCATTATAATTATTGTTATTAACTAAGTTCAGAACATTTACCACGTTATTATTATTATTATTAGATCCATAAAATTACCGTCATTGGTTAAAACTTTTATATATAAATCTGTGTAAATTAGAGCAAAGCCTGAGGAAGATCTAATTGAAAACAATATTGTTCGCTTTGGTCTTGTTCTAATAAATTGTACAGGCAACAACACTTCAACTATGTATGGACTTAAGCCTGAAACATCGTGAATACACATTTCAGTCCGATGATACGCAAACTAGGCTGACACGAAACAGCTAGCTGCCTAGTACTCCCGGCTGGTTTTCATCGCTTCCCAAATTTGTAACAAATCAAATCCTCATTACAAACTAACTCTTGAAATCTCATCTCTGATATTATTCGCCAGACACTGACTGTCTACAGGAAGAAGTCGTCTGCAGATCTCTAGTAGGGAGTGGTAACCAACCGAGTCCATAGAGTTGGGTTGTAAGGACGAATACATCGCTAATGACACTGACTGGGCAGCAGTGGCGCTGTTTATATCGCGAATTGGCAAAAGTTAAAATTCATAGACTGGTCATTGAATTCCATCGCATTGAGGCTGAATGGCTAGGCTAACACGAGCTCGCCTTGTCTCATGCACCCTATCCCTGCAGTTGTGCATATTACCTAAGAGTCCAACACTAGAACGAAACAGCTAGCTATCCTGAGTACTCCCCACTGATTTTCAAATTCAGTTCGTGATCTAACTAACTAACTGACTGACTGGTTTCAACACAGAACTTTGTACTGATGTGAAGCAGTTCAGGTCGCCACACCACTCAGCACACAAAGTCATAGAAGAAAGTAAAAAGAAATGCGAAATAGAGACAGCAAATAGAGATATGCGGCAAAAAGAATAGAAATATCGAAGAACAACATAGTTTTATTGGTTATTATAATTCACAAGGAATGGATACATTTGAGCCAGGCCAGCCATTGACAACTATCACTTTGAGCCACATCACCAAACATTGTCTTCAGACTTCATTCTGTCTGGTCTGGATTCAACATAGAACTTGGCACCGAAGTGCAGCAGTTCGAGTTGCCACGTTCCAAATAGCACACAGAGGTAGACAAGAAGATGAGTGAAGAGAATCAATAGAGTTTGACAAGTATAAGAGTGAAACAGAATGGGTAATGGTAGAAAGGAATATGAAAGATTACAGAGATCTTTCACACAGATCTTTCAGACTTCATTGGTGTTTACCGTCCCGAGGACTCCACAACCAGGAAGTCTACATCTTCTTACATGGTTGGCTCAAACTAACTGTTGAGGACTTCATTGACTGATGAAGCCATGTTTCGGTTTCACCACCACCACCACAACTAGCTCTCTATTTTCCAGCCTGACCCATCCTATGTCAGTCAGCTAACATTGCCCGTCAAGGAAGGAGATGCATAGGTATGCGCAACATATACCCGAACCGCCTCAGTCGACGTAGCTTCGCAACCTCGTCGATTGATTTCATCTCCCTGCTTACCTAGCACTCGACCAAAGTCTCACCTCAATATTGATCACCCTACTATACATTTTACTTACAAGGGAGATAGAGAGCATGCACCTATGATCAAAGATAACTAGCCAGTCTTTCCATGTCTTCCACTCTCAATGACCACATCTCATAGCCAACCATGAAGGCGGACGAAGCAGACTGCTGAGAAGTACACACCACACGTCCTTCGGTCGACAGCCAACCGGATATCATGTCTACACCGGAGACAGCGTAAACTCGCATGTGCGAAACTAGCCTTCTGTATCCGTGCTGAGATTTCGTCAGTGATCAACCCATTGGGAGCTGATACAACCACTTTGACATCCTAGAATTACCACCACTAAGCATTCTGTTTTGAGTAACACACATGAACAAAAAGAAATACAGTGCAAAATAATCTAGTCAATAAAAAATAACACTCTAAAATGAAGACAATAAAACTTGAAGCAATTGATGTCATTTAGAATAAAATCGATAATATACAGTAGGTGTAGTATTAGTATAAGTAGTAATAGTAAGTATGAGAAAATAGTAAAGCGAAGAAGAAAAAACGGAGTAGACGAAGGCCTAACATGATAGTTAACAATATCACTTACTCTGTTTCTTTATTATCGATCATGAACGCACGCACGCACGCACGCACGCACGAACACACACACACACACACAGGTACCCACACTGTATGTATTTTCATTAATCACTGAAACTAGTAAACGATAAATGCGATTTGGTGAAGCACAGACATACACACACACACGAAAGTGCAAACAATTTTATCTTAATTATTGAAAAAATAAGAATTAATCGGTTCAAAAGCTGGCGACAGCAGCAGCAGTAGTAGCGGCTATAAGTGTTGCATGTGCTACTGATAACATTTACCAGTAGTATATAGATGCAGGTTAATTGGCTAGGCATACGTAACACATGTCCTAACCATCTCAGTCGATGCAATTTCACAGCCTCGTCGATTGATTTCCCCCCCCCCCACCCCCCTACACACACTTACCTAGCACTCGACCGAAGTCTCACCTCAATATTGATCACCTTATTATACCAATTAACACAGGAGATAGAACGCAGGCGCACCTATGATCAAAGACACGTCTTCAACTTTCAATAGCCATGTGTCTCACTAACAGCCATAAAGGAGCGCAGAGCGAAGCGAAGTGCTGAGTAGTACACACACACACACAGCCAACCGGATATCCCATCTAGCAATGCATCTGCCGGGAACAGAGCCCCAAACCACTTAGGCTGAACCACCGACGTGCATATCTACGCAAAAGAATACATAAATATTCACAGCTTTAACTAATAATGTACAGGAAACAAAACTGACAATTAGCCAAAATTTACTTACTTTCCGATCTAAATACTCGAAATAATCCCAAGTGAAACTTGAACGTGAATCAGCTAACATATGCAAGTGAATATCATAATCCACAATAATTGACATACACGCTGTGATGATAGCTTTACGAATAAGATATGTCAACTGATTCCACGATTCATTGAATAATTTTTCTTCAACTGAATTTGGTGCAGGAACTTCAAGAAATTGTCTATTTAAAGAAAACATAAAGAAAAAGCATTGTGTAGGCGGCATATGAGAACACTACTTCACTACTTTATATCTTAAATACTAGTCGACAGAAGAAAGCTCTGAACTGAACATCGATTTCGTGTTTGTGAGAGCATTCATCAGCAGCCGATAACTTTCCATGTTAGATCTATTCAAGCAACAACTGCACTTTAATAGGAATCTATTACTCGCGCAAACTAGTTGTCAGATGTAGCTACACCTAACTCTAGGTGTGTTTGTTATCTCTATGTATTGCAGTTCACTCAATTTGGCGACTGACTGACTTTCAATCAGTAGGAGTCGGGGACAGATCCACACCCCAATAACTTCTTTACCAACAATCAATATGGTACACATGGTACATGGTACATGGAAAATCTGTCCCAGATAACTGAGTTATAACTACTAAATGTGTTCGTCAAAATCTGTCGACTAGTGTTAGAGTGTGGGTCATAGGCATTACCACTGAACCTCCCCTATCACCTGATATAAATTCCAAGTACACCATGATAGTAGTGAGTCGTCTAGCTTGCTGAGCACACTAGGGCTTGTGTTACTGATAATATTTATCGGTAGTAGTATATATAGAGACGTTAGTCTCTACAAAAATATCAAATAGCCAAAAGAGAGAGAGATATGACGTCGAAAAGAGCAAATGAATCAGACTGACTCAGGAAGGCTTCGTGTACCCTTATCGCTTGCTTTAAATGACATTGACATAACACTTGATAAAGTCGTTATTAATTTTATTATTAATGTCACTACTAACCGATCTCCTGTACGAACATTGAAATCACTTTTAATTTTATCCAGTACATTTGATTTTTGCAGTATTTTTGGAGTATTATACTGTGGATCAGAATTCACCATCACAATTAACCAATCGAATACATTTCGTGCACGCAAATGACCCAACCAACTACCGACAGCATTTCTTCCACCTTGTGAAGTATACTGGGAGACATTCTGGGGGTCAAAATAGAAAAAATAAAAAATGAAATCGAAAATAATTCCATATTAGTTGGTTTATTAGATATATCACACACACACACACAGTCAGTGAAACGGTAGTATTATTTACTAGATGACACAGTTTCGAACACAAATTATTATTGTTCGTAATCATATCATCAATTATAATCACACGACTTTGAAACTTAAGTTTTATAGTTTTCTTTGTTCTCTCCTATTTGTTGTCATAGGGTTAGTAGTAGTAGTTCCCAGATGTCTGGGACAGATGTTGAGTGATTCCTACTACACTTGTTTGCAGTTGATTCGATGATGAATAAAGCTTCTGTTATCAATCTCTCCCTCCATCCTGCTGTGGCATTAGATTTCAAAACCGTCATCTTATCCCATCCCATCCTATTGTATGGTTGGTTGTGTGTAATTGCATGTAGTGAGTGCTATAGCTGAACTGTTCTCTAGATTTCTTTTCTTATTCGGATCAACTAATTTAGATTTTGCTGCTAGGTCTTTGGTACTCAGTTGGTCTGACTGAATCTATTCTACAACTTTAACTTGACAATCATTCCAGCAGGGTATTAGATAAACTAAATTGTTTTATTTAAATTTGCTTCACTGGCAGGATCCTTTAACCAACAATTGAGTTTGTGAGTTTGAACACGAGCCACTTTTATTCGTGCCTGTATTGTTAAGAATTCTGCGTAAGGTGGTTTCCGAGGTTCCTTCTTTGTGTGGAAGAATAATACGCTTTCGTTTTCTTGGCACTGAAGAAGCTCTAGACATTCAGGTAGAAAATCCGGAGCTATACATGCATAAGGAAAATGTTCAACCACAACTACTTCTGTCTGTCTGTCTGTTTTCGACATAGAACTTTGCACAAATGTGCGGAAGTTCAAGTCGCCACATTCCGTGTAGCACGCGAAGCAAGAGAAGAAAGTACAAGAAAAGCAAATAGAAACAGTGAGCAGAGGTGTGAGACAAAGGAGTAATAAAGAAATACAAAACAGTTTCATTGGAGATCATAAGTCACAGGGAGTGGATGCATCTGCGCCACTGAGAACGATTTTGAGCCATGTCACCAATTGTTTCCAACCATAGATTTTTACCGTCCCGAGGACCCCAGCCTGGAAGTCTACACCTTCCTACGTGGCTTAGACCAACTGTTGTGGATTTCATTGACTGATGCCAAGTTTTTGTTTGACCGCCGCTAGCTTTTTTCCAGCCTGACCCTATATCCGCTAACATTGCTCGTCGAGGGAGGCGATGGCTTGGCATACGTAACACATGTCCTAACCATCTCAGTCTTTGTAGCTTCACGACTTCGTCGATTGATTTCCCCTGTTTACCTAGAACTCTACGCCTAACCTCCATGTTGCTCACCTTATTATGCCACTTTACACGGGAAATAGAACGCAGGCACCTATGATCAAAGACAGCTAGTCTTTTCATGTCTTCCACTCTCAGTGGCCAGGTCTCACAACCATAAAGGAGGACGGAGCGGACTGATGAGCAGTACACCCGCCCTTTGGTCGATAGTCGAACATCTCGTCTACGCCAGAGTCGGCGTAAACTAACAAATGCGAAACGAGCCCCTTGTATTCGTGCTGAGATTTCGTCAGAGATCAGCCCGTTGGGGCTGATGGTACTTCCCAAATAAGTGAAGCGGTCAACGTGCTCTACCACTTCACTTCCTATTTTTAAACTAGGCGTCGATGTAGTCCAGTCCTGTAACATCATCTTGCATTTGGCGGGAGCGAATCGCATGCCAAACATTCGTAGATTGCGGTTCAAGGTGTTTAGAAGACTCTGCATTTCGTCAGCGTCTTCGCCTAGAAGGACTATATCGTCTGCATATTCCAAGTCAACGAGATTATTCCCAGGTAGCAAGTCAATCCCTGAATCGCTGAAGTCACCTAGGGTTAAGTCCATTAACACATCTATGATGAAGTTGAATAGAAAAGGAGATAATGGGCATCCTTGACGGACACCACTGGTCGTCATCAGTTCAGATGACAGCTCGCCGTAAGCCCTCACCTGGCTGTATGAGTACGAATAGAGTGCCTTAATCAGTGCAATATATTTTCTCGGAATTCCCTTTACAGCCAAGCATCTCCAGAGAACTTCCCGATCGACAGAGTCGAATGCTGCCTTTAGGTCAAGAAATATAATGACTGTTGGACGCCGGTAGGAATGCCTATGTTCTAGAATCTGTCGGAGGGTGAAGATATGATCAATACACCCTCTTCCTGGTCTAAAGCCTGCCTGGCTCTCTCGTGTTTGTGCTTCCCGAGCACCACTCAGTCTACGCATGATTATTGAGCCTAAGACTTTAGATACTATATTAGTCAAGCTAATCCCTCTGTGATTATCACAGGAAGACTTGTCTCCCTTCTTGTATATGGGGATAATCAGTGACTTACACCAACCCGATGGGACTTCTTCTGATTCCCAGACGCTGCCTAGTACCTCAGTTAATCCGGACAGTAAGCTGTCTCCACCGTACTTAAATACCTCTGGAGTCATTCCATCAGGTCCCGCTGCTTTGCCTAGTTTCAGATTGGTGACAGCTTTAGTAACCTCAGTTAGTGACGGAGGACCTGTATCTATATCCCATTCAGGGAGGTGTTGGATGCTCGGAAGGTTGAGCGTGGCTGTGGGCAAATTAAACTGCTCCTCATAATGCTCTTTCCAACGATCCAGTCGTCTATCCTGTGAGCTAATTATAGTGCCATTTTTTTCCGAGATTGTCTCACTAATGATTTGTCTTCTCCCACCCGTTTCCCTGATGAGTCCAAAGAGTTGCCTGGTGTTGCCTATCCTCGAAGCTTTCTCCATCTCTTTGGCTTTTGTCGCCCACCACTGTTCACGGTCCTTGCGGAGACTTTTCGTAAGTTTCCTCTTGTGCAGCTTTCGCTCCTCATTGAATTCGGAGCTCGCCGGAATAAGTCTTCTAGCATCTATCAGTTCGGATGAGGCGGTGGAGATCCAGTGGTTTTTACTCACCTTTGGGTTTACCTTATTCACAGCTTTTACAGCTGTATCTATGGCTGCCTGGATATTTTTCCAAGCTTCTTCAGGGTGAGCACAGCTGTCGAACACAGATATGTGTTTAGCTAGTTCTTCCTCAAATACGGATTTAGTTTCCTGATCGAGCTGGGGACGTGATGGTTTTACCGCCAGCTGTTTCCTACGTCCGTTCAGTCGTAAGCACACCCGAGCGCGGACCAGTGCATGGTCGGTATCTACGCACGTGTTCCAGAAGGAGCGACAATCTCCTACCGACCCACGCCAACGATAGCTTATTGCTATGTGGTCTATTTGTGTCCAGCGTTGGTTTGATGAAGGGGGTCTCCAAGTCAAACAGTGTCTCTCCTTGTGTTTGAAGTTAGTGCTTACAAGAAACAAATGATTATCAGAGCAGAACTGTAGGAGACGGTCACCGTTGTCGGTTCGCTGGCACGGAACTCCATAGGTGCCACCGACATCCTTCTCAGATTGACACAATTTCCCTACTTGAGCGTTAAAGTCACCAGCTAGAACGACTATGTCTGAGCGTTTAGCCTTTCTCACCAAACTAGACAGCTTTTGGTAGAACTCATCCTTCGTTTCATCTGAACTGCAGTCAGTGGGGGCGTAGGCGGAGATTACGAAAAGGCATCGGCGAGTAGTGCAGTCCTTCCTCCTTCTTACTGATCCGTTCAGGCGGACAGCACACATTCGGCTATCTACCGGGATCCAGTCAAGCAATGTCTTTTCTGCCCTAGTACTCAAAGCTATCCCTACGCCAGCTAATCCTCGTGAACTAGCTGTGGCATCTCCTGACACCCTCAAGGTGAATTTTGCAGATTCAACCTGTTGGCCAGGTGGGGTTAGGTGAATAACCACACTTGGGTCTTGTATGCGTGTTTCTGAAACACAGCATACATCAATGGCTCGTGATGCCAGGGTCTTGGCTAGTGATGCTTGTTGTCCTATTTGGCAAAGTGTCCTAACATTAAGAGCTCCTATATGAAATTGGTGGCGCGGCTTTAAGAGGCTGTCGGTGGTGGTTTTTTGGCTTCCATCGTTTTTAGTGGACGCAGAGTGGAGAGGAAGTGGAGAGCTATCAAGTCGAGGAGTTGCATCAGTGGAAGGAAGGCAAGATGATAGAGATGAAGATGAAGACAAAGATGAGTGAGTAATAGAGAGGTTTCGTGTGCATTTCGGATTGTGAGGGCGATTGTTACTTCCCGGCTGCCCACACCGTGGAAGTTGGTTGCGTGACCGCAGAGCCCAGGGGACAACTGCTTGAGGCCGGTCACACGCGGCCTGTTTTTGTTTGTTCTTTTTGTTTTGTGTGTCTCAGTAGCAGATTTATCACTCCCGCCCTGTGACACGGCAGCAGGAAGCGCGGTCGTTGTTAATCCGGGCCACGGCCGATCCGGCATGAAATTTTGTAATTTTGTATTGGACATGATGTTGGATTGGGTAGCTGCTTTTTGTTTAACCGCTATCCAAACAACCTGCCTGGCATGGTAGAACCTCAAGAGACATAAGTCTCAGCCAGTATAGCTTGATTAGGTCATTGCGGTGTTCAAGCCCGACCACCACGTCAAGGTAGCAGCTTTCGGTCGGGTAATAAACTTCTACTCACTTGATTTTTGTTTGTTTGTCTTTCCAACTGCTTAAAACCTTTGCATTTCTTTAAACCTTTTGCAGAATTCCGTATTCTCTTTCGTTTCTATGTGGGTCCTGATTACAACTCATCCGTTAAAATTATTCTTCGGATTACGTAACTTAAATACACTTACTCAACTCATCCTATGCATTGACTAGTGATTGACAGGCAGGTTTGTGAAAACTCATCAATTTTGTTACAAGACTCTTTCATGAAAAAGAATACGACTGTTCATCTAGAGAGGGAAATGAATTTGCAGCGAAAAGAGCCTTTTCGTGCTGAACACCATCATTTGTCTTGTTTTTATAAATACCGACTTCTCATACAAATCAACAATCAGCTAATGACGTATACAATGAAATATACATTTGTGGTGAGAGCTGTCTGCAAGCCGAAATTGTAGACAACAATTCACGTCTATGTTTATGTCCTGAATCAAGGTCATGAGAAAGGCCAATAACAATAACAAAGCCTAACCTTGAGGAACTCGACAACCAATCACAACAGACTTAGCGTGGGGCAGATACGATTCGCAGAAATATGGTCTGACCTTCAAAGAAACGGTCACAAGCAGTACAGAATAAACTTCAGCAAGAAAACAACCAATCAGAAAACGTTGCTTCTCTGCTTACAATAACGCTAATAATAATATACATAAAAATCTATAAATATCTGTTGATTTTCTCAATAAACGATCTGTTGCCTGGCCCTTTTCTTCTGTCACTACACATTAAGTATAATAATAACAATAATAATAATATCAACACAAAAAATTATGCCAATTATCACATACACTTGATACAACATAAATATACAATAGCGGTTGAAAAGTGCCAACAGGTCGAATAGGTCGTCCACTTGACAAAACTTTTACATTTGACTGTAATTGATCAACGCGGAATCGTGTAAAACAGGCTTCCAAGCGAACAGAATGTGAGACTGACAGTTTTGGATGCTTCCATGTCACTTGATGACTGGCTAAAGTGCCTAGACAATGACTTTCAAAAAAGGGTAAGAGATTTTCATCGCCAGCACCTAAAAATACAGAAATTCCATGTATCATTTGTGAATTCATAACAGCAAAAGCTTTTTAAAATAAGTATTAGCTAAAGGGTGAAGATTGGTTTCGGGATCCATGAAACTGACGTCATTATTTGAAATTAAATGAATCACTTAAAGTTTTACTTCGCGGGGATCTGATCAGTTAAGAAACTGATTTAAGTTAGAGAAGCACTGATAAAACCAGCAGGGAGTAACTACTGGACATTTGTTTCATCCTAGCCAGGGACTCTTCATCAGTATGTCCTCACCTTATAACCTGAAGGTCCCGGGTTCCATACTTGGTAGGATCTTGGGTGCGTACAGTTACAAACTCATAAAACACTACAAGATAGTGACGATAAGAACTTCATGATTCCCCAACCTGTAAAAATGATGCTTCGAAAGCTTTCACAAACCTTTAACTATGAATTTCTTAAATTTTGAGATGTATAGTCAGACAAATAACACTTCTTGATGTGGTTAAGAACAATAAAGTCACAAACATTTAAGGTTAATACCTTTCCTTGCTTTGAATACTGTGGAACTTATGAAACCACCCATTAAAAAAATTTTTATACGATGATGAATTCGAAAATATTAAGAGAGAATACTCATTTGACCTGTGAACAGTTGACCTATTTCAATAAAATAAAGCATTCAAGTGTATTGGATAAGAAATTAGAGAAAATGCACAATATTGAAAGAGTAAAAGTAACTTGGTAACAAAAAAAACATTCAGTGCTGCTGAATTATGCTGTGTCTTCAAAACCACCCCCCGCCGCCATATTTTGTGTTCACGAGTTAAAGATAAACTGCCTAATCTCGCCTCTTTCCTATGTGAGTATCTGCCGATTTGATTACACCTGTGCAGCCAGTTAGTTACATAGGCCATGTCTGTCTGTCTGTCTGTTTTCGACATAGAACTTTGCACGAATGTGCAGAAGTTCAAGTCGCCACACTCCGTGTAGCACGCGAAGCAAGAGAAGAAAGTACAAGAAAAGCATAATAGAAACAGTGAGCAGAGGTGTGAGAAAAAGGAAGAGTAATAACGAAGAACAAAACAGTTTCATTGGAAATCAGAAGTCACAAGGAGTGGATGCATCTGCACCAGCCACTGAGAACGATTTTGAGCCATGTCACCAATTGTTTCCAACCATTGGTTTTTACCGTCCCGAGGACCCTAACCAGCCTAGAAGTCTACAGCTTCCTACGTGGCTTAGACCAACTGTTATGGATTTCATTGACTGGTGAGGCCATGTTTTTGTTTGACCGCCTCTAGCTCTTTTCCAGTCTGACCCTATATCCGCTAACATTGCTCATTGTCGAGGGAGGCGATGGCTTGGCATACGTAACACATGTCCTAACCATCTCAGTCTTTGTAACTTCACGACTTCGTCGATTGATTTCCCCATCTTACCTAGCACTCGACGCCTAACCTCAATGTTCCTCACCTTATTATGCCACTTTACGCGGGAAATAGAGCGCAGGCACCTATGATCAAAGACAGCTAGCCAGGCTTTTCATGTCTTCCACTCTCAGTGGCCAGGTCTCACTCACAGCCATAAAGGAGGACGGAGCGGACTGATGAGCAATACACTCGCCCTTTGGTCGATAGTCGAACATCTCGTCTACGCCAGAGTCGGCGTAAACTAGCATACAATTAGGCGTGTTTATCGTCGGATTTCCGAACATCATCCTACGTGGTTATGTAAGAAACAAACAAAATCCATTCATAGCTCTATCCTATCTCATCTTGTGGATACAGAACACAAGATTGGTATTAACGAGGCTATTAAAGTCATCTACCACGCACACCAACACTAATCTCAAGAGCTGGTCTTTTACATATTGCTGAGAATGTTGGAATCTACATTAAGAAGACTAATTTATGTATCGAAAAGAAATTGGTTCTGATGCTTTCTTTACTACCATGGCCATTAAGGTTTTAATGATCCTTAAGGAAATTTTTGTTTTTTTTTGTTTTTTAATTGTCTATAGTTTGGTTTGTAAGGGGTTAGTTTTGTTTCTACGAGTTGATCACGGATTGATATCAGTTAGAGAACCACTGAAAATCAGGGAGTACTGGACACAGCTGGCTGTTTCATCCTAGTTTGCGAATCATCCGCAGTACGCACCCACCACCCCACAGGGGGTTCGAACCCAACACCTTCCGGTTACAAGGCTACCAAACTCGCATACCATTCAGCCACTGGGACCCGACTCAATTCAATGGCTAGTCCATGAATTCTAACTTCTACCAATTCGTGATGCATTTAGCCCGACTGCAACCAAACCATTATCGTAGATGAGATATCCATCCTCACACGTGACATCCGGATGGACATCCCTGGTCACAACTTCTCACTAGAACTCCAGGAAACCCTATACTGTAGCAAGTCACTAGCGAGCATCAGATTAATTTTCTATAGTTTGGTTAGTAAGGGTTAATTTTGCAACCGGAAGGTCCTGGGTTCGAAGCCTCTGTGGGGTGGGTGCGTACTGCCGATGATTCTCAAACTAGGATGAAACAGCCAGCTGTGTCCAGTACTCCCTGGACTTTTCTTAAGTGTATTATATTTTCTTCCCCCACCCCCTATTAAATCTCTACGCCTTTATCACCTCTGTTGTGAACTTGACTGTCGTTCAATCTTTTAGTTTTAGTTGACCTCTACTCAACCCCGTCAATTATATCTGTCTGTCTGTCTGTCTGTTTTCGACATAGAACTTTGCACAAATGTGCGGAAGTTCAAGTCGCCACACTCTGTGTAGCACGCGAAGCAAGAGAAGAAAGTACAAGAAAAGCATAATAGAAACAGTTAACAGAGGTGTGAGATAAAGGAGTAATAACGAAGAACAAAACAGTTTCATTGGAGATCATAAGTCACAAGGAGTGGATGCATCTGCGCTGGCCACTGAGAACGATTTTGAGCCATGTCACCAATTGTTTCCAACCATAGATTTTTACCGTCCCGAGGACCCCAGCCTGGAAGTCTACACATTCCTATGTGGCTTAGACCAACTGTTGTGGATTTCATTGACTGGTGAGGCCATGTTTTTGTTTGACCGCCGCTAGCTTTTTTCCAGCCTGACCCTGTATCCGCTAACATTGCTCATTGTCGAGGGAGGCGATGGCTTGGCATACGTAACATACGTAACGTCAATTATATAACATCATTCAACTTATTTTACTTTATTTTAGCTTCTACCTGATAAATTCTTTCTATGTAACATAATTTGTTATCTAAAATTCACAATTTTAATGACACATCTTTGTAAATATTCCCTCTGTTGCTAAGATTTATTATATATTTTATTTTTTTTATTATTATTTTTTATCTTTTTGATTGCAGCTTGATTCCACACTGTATTTTCGGTATAAGTATGGAATTTTTAGCATGTGATATCGATAGCCAAAATTTTTCAGGCCGACCATAGATATCAGGTGTGCGTCGGCAGGGGATTGAACTTCGGACGATGTGCATGGTCGGCGAGAGTCTTAACCACTGTGCCATCGACGCATATATATATATATGTGTGTGTATGCGATTGTACAGCTTGAGAATGACACCGTCGATAAGAGAGTAACTCTTCGCTGAACACCTTTTCTTTTATATGACCCAACAGGGATTTTCAAAATCCTTAATCTAATTGTAGAAATTTCCTTAATATTATTTAATATATTTTTATACTTATTATAACTTATTTACCTTTCTTGAATTGTAGTGTCCCTGATTTTAATAAATCGATGTTATCAAGTATTCGTTTGTAGGAATTTCCTTTACTTGATTGAAGGATTTCATCAAGAGCTTACATCGGTTAGAGAACCATTGGAAAACCAGCTGGGAGAACTGGACAATTGTCGTGAACTGTCAGAAGTTAGAATTCATGGACCGGTCACTGGATCGGATCCTAGTAGCTTAGTGGTCTACGAGCTAGCTCACCTTGCAACTAGAATGTCCTAGGTTAGAACCCCCTTTGGTGAGTAAGCACTGATGAAGAGTCCCAAACTAGACCGACGAAACACCTGTTCAGTACTCTCAGGTTTTCCAGTAGTTCTTTAACCGAATCAGTTTATGATGAAATCATCGAACAAATAGATATTATCTATAAAACATAATGGAGATGGATCGGACACTCGCTGAGGAGACCGCCGGGTGACATCGCGCGCCAAGCCCTCGAGTGGAACCCGAAAGGGAAGCGGCATGTGGGAGGTCCAAGGGTGACATGGAGGAGATCGTGTGAAGAGGAGTTGAAAGAATATGGATTAACATGGATGCAGGCGAAAAGTATAGCAGAAGACAGAAGAAAATGGAGACGCGCAGTTGAAGCCCTATGTTCCACTAGGAACCCAAGGGAGCATTAATAATAATAATAATAATAAAACACTGATATTGTTATTGATGAATATTCTACAATATGCTGAATATATACATATGCACCAATGTGCGGCAGTTCAAGTCGCCACACTCCCTCCTTGTAGCACACAAAGCAACAGAAGAAACTAGAAGAAATGCATAATAGAGACAGTAAACAGAGGTGTGAAACAAAGGAATAGTAATAACGAAGAACAATAATAGTTTCATTTGAAAGCATAAGTCACAAGGAGTGGATGCATCTGCATCAGCCATTGAGAACGATCACTTTGAGTCATATCACAAATTGTCTCCAGCCTACGTTGGTTTTTACCGTTTTTACCGAGGACCCCAACCAGGAAGTCTACACCTTCCTGTTTGTCTGTCTTTAACTGTTGTGGATTTCATCGACAAGTGAGGCCATGTTTTGGTTTGACCGCCGCTAGCTCTTTTTCCAGCCTGACCCTATGTCAGCTAACATTGCCCGTTAGTCGAGGAAGGCGATGACTAGGCATACGTAACACATATCCAAGCCATCTCAGTCGATGTAACTTAACAACCTCGTCGATTGATTTCCCCATCTTACCTAGCACTCGACGCCTAAACCTCAATATTGCTCACCTTATTATACCACCTCACACGGGAGATAGAACGCAGGCACCTATGATCGATGACTGCTAATCTTTTCATGTCTTCCACACTCACTGGCCAGGTCTCGCAGCCATAAAGGAGGATGGAGCGGTACACCCGCCCTTTGGTCGATAGCCAGCCAGATATCATGTCTATGCCAGAGACGGCGTAAACTGGCAAATGCGAAACTAGCCCTCTGTATCCGTTTTGAGATTTCGTCAGTGATCAACTCACTTGAACTGCCTGATGCAACTTCCCAAATTAGTGAAGTGGTCAACACGCTCCACCAACCACTTCACTCCTTATTTCTAAAGTAGGAGTCAGAGTACTCCAGTCCTGTAACATCATCTTACATTTGGCGGGAAAGAATCGCATGCCAAACATTTGTAGATTGCTGCTCCTGAAGGTGTTCAGAAGACTCTGCACTTTGTTAGCGTCCTCGCCTAGAAGGACTATATCGTATGCATATTCTAAGTCAACGAGATTATTCCCCTGATGGTAACAAGTCAATCCCTGAGTCTCTGAAGTGAGTTAGGGTTAAGTCCATTAGTACATCTATAACGAAATTGAATTTTTTCTTTGTATTCAAGTGTTTGAAATTATCCAAATGAAACAAATCATTTTAGCCTCTATAGTCTTATAGATTTTTAGGGAGTACTTAACCAGTCATTCTACAAAAAAGTTGAAAAACAAAAAACAAGTGAAGACAAAACAAGCGCCTGACGACAGAACAGGGTTACAAAATAGGCTTTAATTGGGTTTAAGCAGTAAGAGTATTGACAAGTAAAGCTACACAATTAAGATACAAAACTTACACGAAATAACCGGTTTTGATATAAATTCCATTTAAAAATTAAAAAGTGGGCTGTGTTGACCCGTCAACTTTTGAATGAGATAATACGATTTTCTTTGTGAAAATTATGCTGATTGATTTAATATTGTATTGTATTTTACACCTAAAAATAGAAGAGGTGAATAAGTGATATATTACAGTAACATTGCATTATGAAATGGTTTTTTTGATTAACTCATAAATTTCATGTTTTGTAATGCAAACGAGTCAAAACAGATGTGTTACTAAAACTAAAACGCATGTTTAATTTTTTGGGACATAAGTAATGGACGTTAGTAAATAACAAATGCTAATTTGCTAACATATATCTGTTAGAGAACCATTGGAAAAACCAGCACGGAGTACTCGACATCTGTTTCGTTCTAGTTTGGGGCTCTTCGGGAGTATGCACCTACTGGGGTTCAAACCTAGGACCTCCCAGTTGACCATTCAGCCCATGAATCTCAACTTCGATATGATAGAGAAGATTTGTAGCTCAGGTGGATAATTTTGATGTGGTTTTGTTCTCTGAGCTGGATGGTTAGTTTGCGAAGCTTTCATCGCCCTACTGGGTGACATCTTCGGCGCATACTTCAATTTGAAGTGAGCTTTTAGGTTTCTCCACGAGTTTATTAATCATTCCTCCTGGTGACCTTGGACGTGATTGGTTGTTTATGTGTGTTTTCACACCTTCTAGGTTACTTGTGTTGGAACTGAAGGTGTGAAAACACACATAAACAACCAATCACGTCCAAGGTCACCAGGAGAGATGATTAATAAACTCGTGGAGAAACCTAAAAGCTCACTTCAAATTGAAGTATGCGCTGAAGATGTCACCCAGTAGGGCGATGAAAGCTTCGCAAACTAACCATCCAGCTCAGAGAATAAAGCCACATCAAAAAAATCTCAACTTCTGACACTTCACAATATATATATATGTAGCGCAACAACCAGCCAGTGTCATAGGCGAATAACTGATCTCTTACCTCAGTCCTGGGTTCGAACCCTGGTGGTGGGTGCGTATTGATGAAGAGTCCTAAACTAGGCTGACGAAACAACTGTCTGGTACTCCGCACTGGTTTTCAGTGGTTCTCTAACTGATGTCAGTTTGTGACTAAACCTGTAACCAATCAAATCCCCATAAACCAACACGATAAAATATATCTCTTGACTAGTTCAGAAGTTGGTGAGCACAGAACAGCGTAGACAACAGTCGGAGATAGTAAACATCAAGTACTATTCATTTGTACCTGTGATTTCCAGGTCGATTTGGTCAGAAAAATTTTAGAATATTAGTTCCATGAACAGATACTCGACCATCATCATCTTGATTACTAACTTTATCTTCTTTGTGATATACTTTCTACATCCAGATGAGAGAAAACACCATCCCTGGAAACTAAGTAGCCCAATAATAGATAACACTGGTAGTTAGAACTCTGGGTCCTGGTTAGGAGTTCCAGTGGGAACATCACGATTCATTTCAATAGAGATCATGTTTACAATACGCAGAAACAGACTAAAACCTCCAAGTTATACTGACAACTGACTGGTTTCAACGTAGAACATTGCACAGATGTGCGGCAGTTGGAGTCGCTACACTTCACTTAGTACACAAAACAAGAGAATAACGTGAAAAAAATAGAGACAGTAAACAGAGATATGAAGCAAAAAGAATAGTAATATCGAAGAACAGTAGAATTTTACTGGATATTATAAGTCATAAGGAGTGGATGCATCTGCGCCAGCCGTTGACAATGATCACCTTGAGCCATATCGCCAATTATCTTCAGTCGTCATTGGTTTTTACTATCTGTCTGTCTGTTTTTGACATAGAACTTTGCACCGATGTGCGGTAGTTCAAGTCGCCACACCTCATGTACCACACAAAGCAAGAGACAAAAGTAGAAATGCACAATAGAGACAGACAGTAAACAGAGGTGTGAGACAAAATCATAAGTCACAGGGAGTGGATGCATCTGTGCCAGCCATTGAGAACGATCACTTTGAGCACATCACCGATTGTCTCCAGCCATTGGTTTTTACCGTAACGAGGACCCCAACCAGTCAGTCAGTAAGTTTACACCTTCCTACGTGGCTTAGACTAACTGTTGTAGATTTCATTGACTGATAAAGCCATGTTTAGATTTGACAGCCGCTAGCTCTTTTCCAGCCTGACCCTATGTCAGCTAACATTGCCCGTTAGTCGAGGAAGGTGATGACTAGGCATACGTAACACATGTCTTAACCATCTCAGTCGATGTAACTTTTTTTTATTACAGCTTGACTCCACACCGTATTTTTGGTACAAGTGTGGAATTTTCGGCGTGGATATCGGTAGCCCAAAATTCGCAGGCCGACCATAGATATCAGGTGTGCGTCGGCGTGGGCTCGAGCCCCGGACCATGTGCATGGTCGGCGAGAGTCCTAACCACTGTGCCACCGACGCACAACCTTGTCGATTGATTTCCCCATCTTACCTAGCACTCGACGCCTAAACCTCAATATTGCTCACCTTATCATACCACCTCACACGGGAGATAGAACGCAGGCACCTATGATCCAAGACAGATACTCTTTTCATGTCTTCCACTCTCAATAGCCAGGTATCACAGCCATAGAGGAGGACGGAGCGGACTTCTGAGCAGTACACACCACACGTCCATTGGTCGATAGCCAGTCAGATATCATGTCTATGCCAGAGACGGCGTAAACTGGTATATGCGAAACTGGCCCTCTGTATCCATTTTGAGATTTCGTCAGTGATCAACTCACTTGAACTGCCTGATGCAACTTCCCAAATAAGTGAAATGGTCAACACGCTCCACCAACCACTTCACTCCAAATTTCTAAGCTAGGAGTCGATGAAGTCCAGTCCTGTAGCATCATCTTACGTTTAGCGGGAGAGAATCGCATGCCAAACATTCGTAGATTGCAGCTCAAGGTGTTCAGAAGAGCTGCAATCAAATAGAAGATAAGAGAGAGAGAGAGAGGAAAGCCAACATCGAAGGTTGTAGAGTGCATTAAGACGAAAGATGGAGAATAGTGTTATCAATAGAATGGTATAGAATGGAGAACACAATTACAACCTCAATGAAATTCAGCATTCTCTTATCGAGTCAGGTTGCGATGTATGATATAAGGTAAAATATTCTGTGCCATACTAATACAAAAATGATTGTCACATGCATCAGCCATTTACCTTTGAAGACAGATATAGCCATGACTTCACTCTACAGTGATAGAACACCCTTAATCTTTCACACTCTGAAAAGTAAAATTAGATCTACATAGTTTAGCCTTCATATTTCTGAAAGGAGACAAAATTAATTAAGCTACCTCGGCTGAGTGACCTACTACACTTTGGAATTATCCCTGACTTTAAAATAATAATTATTTTGCTTTATTCCAGAACAGTACTTGAGATATAGAATGGAATTTTCACCATTTTTACTACAGTATTGCATCCAGTTAGTACATTAACAATAAATAAAATTCTACATAGATTAAGGTAATCTCAGTTAATTTTGTCAACATGTCGGTAGCAAAGCCAAAAGTGAACAGAATGTTTGAAGGTGTTAGAAAAGTAGATGCTAGCATATTTACTGGCGTAATCGTTAACAAAAAGGTTGAGATATACAGAGTGTGAAAGAACAAAGAACCTATAAATGATGTGACTTGGAAAGACGAGATCCATTTGTTCTACTGACAATTTAATAAGTTATAAGTATCACGCCTAATGCTTTCTTTATCGCACACAACACGAGCTAAGTAGGGTATGGTTGAGTTTTTGTACTTGCTAGTACGAGCATATAGTTTTCTATATAGGCTTTTGGTCCAGTCTGATGAGACAGATACAAGGGGGGGGGGAGTTGTGAATGAAGAGGTTGGTGTGAATTAGATAGAATGGATTTAGCCCATTTTTCACATGAGTCCATGTGCCTGTCAACCAGAATATTAACAAGCTGGTTAAGTGACACGTAGCTTACCCTGCTGACAACCTTTAACATCCTGCGTAATAAGGTATAGTCTGTCTTCAGTGGCTTTAGAAAAGCTAAGGGATAGCAATAGAGAATAATAAGCAGGGTTAGTAAGAGTAAGGGTTGGGTTGGGTTATTCCAGAATGTCTTAACTTCTTGATGTAGAAGGTAAAACGGAATATTTTCCTAGAAATCATCAAGATATGAGACGACCAGGAAAGATCAGCAGACAGAATGACGCCAAGATATCCAATTTCCGACTTGGTTTCTATTTCAGTGCTATCAATGTTGCACACCTCGTGAGTGTTAACCAGTTTGTTTAGGTCAGATTTATGCCTAAAGGTGAAATTGACTGTTTGGCATTTGGAGGGATTTAACGTAAGACCGTTTTCCTTGGACCACTGGCTGATTTCTGATAAAAGCCATTTGGTTTGGAGCAGTCACTTTGACATTTGACAGGTAAGGATACAGTCAGGTCGTCAGCATATTTAATAAAATTAATGTCATTTGAAGATGGTAAGTCATGTAGAAAGAAAGAAAAGGGAAGTGGTGAGAGTACAGCGCCTTGAGGGACACCAGCTTCAGTGGGCACAGAAGAGGAGGATTTATTTTTGCATACAGTGTACTGCATTCTGTTTGAGAAGTAGGAATGCAACAGGGTGAAAAGATGTTAACAAAGCACAAAACCAAGTGCTTTAGAGTATAAAATGCTGACGCCATAAGGCAGCTAAAGCCCTTTCAAAAGTAGTCTACCTATTGTTTCAAGTATCTTAGAACACTAACGTTAGACTACCCTTCAAACTCTCTACACAGTTATAACTTGATATCTCAAGGCAGACTCTCTCCACATAGTGCAGTATTCAAACCCAAACAGGCCCTCCAAGCGATTTCACCTCATTCTTTTTTCTGGGAAACCAAGTCAACGAATGTTTCGTGTTAGACGAACTCCCTGTGAGATCCATTTGTTTTCATGGGACCTAAACCACTAAGATTATATTTTCTGAAACCAGGAAACTGTACTAATCTGACCCCGAGATGTATGAAATAGAACATTTGGTAGGAGACCTCCAGCATCCCTTACAGGAATTTCTCATACTAAAATAGTTAAGAAGAGAGATGTCACCATGAATTTGTCCGTGGTCAAACTTTGAAGACAAAATTGCATAACGAGGCTGGCAACAGATTCTACTCTCTTTTATCCCCTTCGTCATGGAGAAAAGATTTATAACGTCATATTTAAGTTCTCTCAACTATAAGCAGAGGAGCAACCACGAAAGCGAAAACAACGATAAGTGCTAAGCCATCAAAAAAAGTAGTCTATTTATTTATTTATTTTTGATTTACAGCTTGATTCACAAATGCGTCGGTGGCACAGTGGTTAGGACTATCGCCGACCATGCACATCGTCCGAGGCTCGATCCCCTGCCGAAGAACACCCGATATCTATGATCGGCCTGCGAAATACAGGCTACCGATATCCATGCTGAAAATGTCATACTTGTACCAAAAATACGGTGTGGAATCAAGCTGTAATCGAAAATAAAAAACAAAATTCTACACTGTATTTTTGATACAAGTATGGAATTTTCAGCATGGATATCGGTAGACCAAATTTTTCAGGCCGACCATAGATATCAGGTGTTCATCGGCAGGGGATCGAACCTCGGACCATGTGCATGGTCGGCGAGAGTCCTAACCTTACTTTACTTTACTTTACTTCGGCTATCTCCTACGGGAGGATGAGCCGGCTTCATGAACCATGAAGTTTCATGGGAATTGGATACGAGTGATGTCCCCAGCATCGCTCGGAGAGTCCTAACCACTGTGCCACCAACGTCTAAATAATTAACCTTCAATACTCACGAGAATAAAAGAGCCAACAGGGAAATATTATGCATGTCGGGTTAATAAAATACTCGTGTGTAAAAGAAATACAATGAAGTTAAACAATGGGAACCACCGCAAAAAATTACAGCTTATAAACCTTAGGACTAGTAAATTCGTAAACCAGGTGTATTTTTATGTATAAAGAGAGCATCCCAGATAAAAACTTAAGGTGTTTTGCGGTTTTCTGAAGATAATTTCAGTGTTTTTTGTTTGGAGAGGGGGAATGTTACATTGCCCCCCAACATTTTTTATTCAGGCTTATTCCACCTTCAGTACTAGTTCATTACAGGTGTAATGAAGATTCTCAGTTAAGTATCAAAGACAGCCCAGTATTTACTCAAAACTAAGAAACCAGATGAAGAGCGAGCTGTGAAAGTAATACATGAACGAAATTCAGTATCATTTTGAAAGTCCTTCGGTCACGTTATCGGTGGTGGCCGCCACGATTTAACTTCACCATAAAGTTAGCGTACGCTAAGTCAGCCAAAATAATTGATAATGCATAATGGGTAGGGTAGAACAATCAGGATATAAAGACGAAAACAGCATATATAACGTCCCGAAATTGTGTAACGCACCTTGCGAAAAGGCCGCTTTTTAGTACAACTTATTGATGATTGGCCTGTATACAGATTCCGATTTGCTGGCCGAGGACAGAATATCTGGAGCCCATTTTGGTTATTTTTCGGTTAATTTCTGGGTTTTTCCAAACGCTTCCTGCGTGATTCAATTACGGCTGCAGTCACCACTTATCCTGGGAGCCGGTTCCAGGAGTTTATGACTCTGTGTGATAACCAGTACTCCACCCCAATATGGTTTCTCCTTGGTGTTTGAACTCTCCCGCTGTTTCGTCTAGGGTGTTCCGACGTAGTGGGAAGGAAAAGGAGGACAAATCAGATCTGTAGTCATTATTTAGAATTCTTTAAACATGTCATTAAATCTCCTCTCTGCCGACGGTATGACAAGGAGAATAGATTTAAACTGTCTAGCCATTCCGCGTACAATAAATAAGTCATGTCAGGAATCATACATGTTGCCTTCCTCTGAAACCTCCCTAGAATGTCTGAGTTGTCTTTAACACAAGGCCTGGCTGCCTGGATACAGTTTTCTAGTCTTGACCTCACCAGGGATATACATGAGGAGGTAAACATATTTTTTTTGTTTACAGCTTGATTCCACACTGTACTTTTGGTACAAGCGTTGAATTTTCAGCATGGATATCGGTAGACCAAATTTTTCAGGCCGACCATAGATATCAGGTGTTCATCGGCAGGGGATCGAACCTCGGACCATGTGCATGGTCGGCGAGAGTCCTAACCACTGTGCCACCGATGCATATCTCTGGTGATTCTAGTTATGACGCTGCAAATTGACGTAATGATGTCAGACTACCAGCTTTAACAAGCTTGAAAGCGTGCCGTAGTTTTTAAGTCGTGAATTGTGTTACCTAGGTCTATATGAGTCGGAAATGATGGAAGCTTTTTTCCCGCCAGGCAGTAGAGGCCGTTATTTGTGTGTTCAATGCTGATGGTTGCACAGTTCACTACACTGACGGGGAGCATCCATACTCTGGACCACTCTAACAATGTGTTGAGGTCTTCTCGCAATGCGAGCGTAACACTGTCGCCTGTCAGCTCTCTCCTGATTTTTTAAGTCATCCGCGAACAGGACCATTAGGGAATCCGTGAGCATAAATAGCTTACTGATATACAAAATAAATAGGAGAGGCCTGAGTGCCGTGTCTTGTGGCACTCCGCTACACAGTGTTATCGAGGCAGAGACTTTTGAGTTGACCCTTCGCCTTCTACCTTTGAGGAATTCAATAAATCCAGTTTATTAGGCTGTCATTGATACCAAGACTTTCCACCTTCGTGTGTAGTCTTTTTTAGGGAACTTTATCTAAGGCTTTGCTAAAATCCATGAAGACGACGTCAGCAGGTCTTCTGTTGTCCGTTGATTTCACCCAACTTTCCTTTGCAATGAGAAGATTTGGCAGGCATGAGGGGTTTCTTAAGAAGCCATACTGCGCTCTGGATAACAAGTAATTGTTTTCCAGATGCGCCATGATGGTTTCCCTGATGATTCTTTCAAGTGTCTTGATTAAGGTGGTTTAAAGGGCTTTGTCTTTATCCTCCTTTGTTGACGGGGGTTAATGAGGCGTTTTTCCAGCCACGCGGTGACACTTAATTTCTTAGAGGTGGCCTGAAAATCGCGGTAAGTGGGCTTTGATATCTTTTTCACTAAAAAGTCTTGTATCAGTAGAGCTAATCGCTTGAATGTTACAAGTCTAAGCAGCTCCCTCTTCAGGTTGTTGTTAGCTTCATTTATGGGTTCGTGGTTCTTTTAAGAATGACAGTGTGGAATAAAACAATTCCAACAGTGGTGTAAACACGGGCAATAACAAAACTTATCATTGTGTGTAAACTACTGAAATATAATTGTACTTCATTTGGCGTTACGAAGTCTAAGAATTTGGGTCACGCTAGTTCAAGATAGTCACATTTTAGACTTCAACTGGTCTATTTGTTTTACTTCAGTACTGTTACGATGAAATGATTCGATCTCGAAAAGATAATAATAATGCAGCCATCATCAATCTGATAAATAATACATACACGGAGTTAGCATATCTAAAATTGTTCAGTGTGAATCGCTCCCATATGTAGGACAGCAGCATGGATTTTCGACAGCTCGCGAATTCACTATGGGCCTGGATCCTCAGCCAAAAAGCAATAAGGATTTTATAGATCCAAATTTTAAAAGAGCGCGACATTATAGTGCGAAGGCTGCTCTGACAATGGTAGGGCGAGGGAATTTGTGTGGTGCTTTTCACTTCAGGGTCCGGTTTCAGATCCTGAATAACCAATGACTCAGCTACGTGCAGATGGAGTATTCTCGGCCCTTTAGAATGATATTGAGGTACCGTTCGTACTACTGTGAAGCATTCATAGGGGCTGGGCGTCCACAGCTGAAAAGGTGTTCGAGGATGGAGCTGCTGGTATCATTTTCTTCTCTGGCTGGCTAGTCAAGCTGGACAGTATTCCAGAATACGTTTGCATACTTGACGTTGCGTACGGTCGATATACTTTTCTTCACACAAACAAGAAGACTGATAAATACACATTGAGGTGACCAAAAGCGATGTCTTGACTTTAACCCCACACAGGATTGGTTGTCTGCTGGAGAGCGTGATGCGTAGTGTGGATGCTTAAAATGTCTTCTCCTAATATTTAAAAGAAATTCAACTTCGACGTGACCTTCGAATTCCAGGTTCGTAGCGAGTCTTCCTAGGAAGAGTTGTGATGTTTGACGATAGAGGATTTTTCTTCACGTTTCTGTCGATAAATCTTGGTGGTTACCAGTTCATTAAGTGAAACTTAATCACTGCGTGAATCCCTACTAGAGATCACTTGTCAGACTGTGTACTTAGGGAATATCTTGTTGAAACTTTTGAAACTGGTAGCCATTGGTGGGTCACTCGAAGGCGCGAATGGTTCGATAGCGTACAAGTTCGATGAAGACTGTGGTGGGAGCAGGCTGCTAGCTAAATCGGTAGGCAATTATTCACGTCAATGTGTATAACCTAAATATTGGTCGTGAGAAAATATGGACAAAGACTGATTCAACAACCAATCACAGGAGACTTTGCGTAGGCAGATACAGTTAACATATAGATAATGTGACATTCAAGAAACAGTCACAAAGAGATGCAATATCAACTTTCTGTGAGAACCAACCAATCAGAAGTGTGTATTTGTTTGCTTGAATTAGCTATAAAAAGGTACACGAAAATAAATGAATACGTGTTGATTTCCTTAATAAACGATCTGTTACCTGGCCCTTGTCTTCTGTTAATACAGGACAACCAAAAATGAATAAAAGCACTTCATAATTGTGTACAAAAATTTTGGTTAAAGACTTTTACTGTTCTCCGCTTTAATTGCTAAACAATATAACTTCCTTCTTACAATACTGGTGTTTTGGAGTTAAAGTCGAAGAAAGTACATGGCTTTTATCGGTGCGGAGCGTCTTCGTAACGATAGGAACTAAGGGATGTGTTCCCTGACAGTTTTCATTCGTTTGTTCGTTTTCTGGAGTGCCTTTGGAACTTCCAGGATTACTCGCTCGGTCTGCAGCCAGCATCTCTTTGGACAAGGATTTTCAACGCAATTTGGATCCTCTGGTGACGTTCGATAATGCCTGGGTCAAGAAAGTGCGTGACACCATGGAAGCCGACAAAAAAGTAAGTAACGATGAGTTGCCTGTTAATTGTAGTGATATGCATGATGCTCAGCAAGACGAGTCTGATGTTCACGCTTCGCCGTTTAGGGATAGCAGTGTTTTAAGACTTTCTAAGCTTGAACCTCAATACTTTGATGGAAACCCAGCCGACTACCACAGTTTATCAAGGAGTTTGCGGTCATGTTGAGTGGTTTTGTTTTAAGTGACGAAATGAAGTTAATATATTTGTTGAGGTACTGAACTGGTGTTGCTGCAAGAGCCATACAGTGCTGCGAGTTTATGACCTTGTACGAAGGATATACAGAGGCTATGAGGATTCTACG